AAGAAAGAAAGAAAGAAAGAAAGAAAGAAAGAAAGAAAGAAAGAAAGAAAAGAAAAGAAAGAGAAAAAGAACTTTAACATTATCCTAAAACCCACACCAACCTGGCACATTATCGATTAAAAATATTTTTTAAGTTGCAAATGTATTGGACATCAGCTTTAAATTCTAAGTGCTTTACAACTAAATATTATATTGCCCCATTTAATCCATACCCGATGGGTTCTCAGAGTGTGGCCTAATGGCCACTGGGGTTCTCCTGTACCCAGAGGGTCTCTGTGAGGTTGTCCCTTTTGCTAGTTTTGTATCAATGTGCGGCAAGATGTTCTTAGTATATGTAACACAAAACAGCCTATCACAATCCACTGAACATGCAGAAGCAGATGTGAGGATCCAGCTCTCTTATAATGAGCTAGACATTAAAGAGATTTGCAAAAATATGAAACAATGCCACCGTTGCCAGTATTTTGTTTTGGAGCAGAGTTATTTTTTTAAAAAAATATGCATGTTAAGGGGCATCTGGGTGGCCCAGTCGGTTAAGCATCCCACTTTGGCTCAGGTCATGATCTCACAGTTTGTGAGTTCCAGCCCCGTGTGGGGGACTCTGTGCTGACAGCTCAGAGCTTGGAGCCTGGATTGGATTCTGTGTCTCCGCTCTCTGCCCCTCCCCTGCTTGCGCTCTCTCTGTCTCTTTCTCTCAAAAATAAATAGACATTGAAAAAAATATATGCATGTTAAAATATCATGTAACTGCTTTTGAGTTAACCAGTATTTTTCAAAACATTAGTTTAAATTTCCAATTACAGTAGATATAACCCACGTAATGAAATCTCTTTAGGGTCTTCAGTAGTTTTTAAGAGTGCCCTTGGAAAAGGGTCTCTGAGACCAGAGAGTTTGAGAACTGCTTCCTCACAGCATCCTAGGAAGTATTATCCTTGTTTTACAAATGAGGAAAGGGGGGAGGCACAGAGAGGTCAAAGAACTCACCCAGGGCCAGCTGGTAAGAGGTCAGATCTGTGCACAGCAAGCCAGTGAGGTGGACATGTGATTATCCCCATCCAAAATCAAGGACAGTGAGAAACAGGGAGGGGCATTAGCTTCCTGCAGCTGATGTAACAAATTGCCACAAACTTGGAGACTTAAAACAATAGAAACTTATTCTCTGACCGTTCTGGAGGCCAGATATCTGAAATCAAGGTGTTGGCAGGATCAGGCTCTCCGGAGGATCCTCTCTTGTCTCTTCCAGCCTCTGGGATGCTTAGTCTGTAGCCACATCCCTCCTGTCTCTGCCTCTGTTTTCACATGGTCCTTCCATGCATGTCTGTCTTCTCTTTGTGTCTCTTATAAGAACACCTGTCATTGGATTTAGAGCCCATCTGCACAATCCAGGATGATCTAATCTCAAGGTCCTTAACTTAATTCACTTGCAAAGATTATTTTTTCAAAATAAGGTCTCCACTTCCAGGATCGGGACACGGAAGTATCTTTTGGGGCAGGGTGGCACCATTCAACCCACTTGCTTAAGGTTCCACAGCTGGGAGGGATGCAGCCAACCCAGTGGGTGCCCGTGTTGAATGAAGGAATAAATAATGAATGCCCAGATTGGGGTAGTTTTCCCCTAAAGGCAGCAAAGATGTGCTGAGAGTCAGCTGGGAGGGGACCAGGATTGAAGAACTAGAATACCAGCCTGCAGCCTGAACTTAAGATGGGGGCAGGAAAGGAGTGGGGGAGGGGGGGGAGGGCAGAAGTCTGAGATGACCCCAGATGGTGAGCTCAGGAGAATGGCTACAGTTTTAAGCAAGCAAGTTTTAAGCAGTCAAGCCTGGTGGTTAAGCTTCCAGAACCTCTCTGCGGTCTAATCCTGGCGTAGTCACTGACCAGGTGTTTGGCCTCTCGGGGCCTCAGCTTCCCACTCTATAAAATGGGATCACAGAGGGTAATTGTGATCATTAAACAAATCCGGGTATGTGCCGGCCTCCCCCAGTGCTTCTAAGGTTCTATCATCCTCACCATCATCGTTAAAGATACCTGGAGGAGGTACCTGGTCTGGGTGTAGATGTAGACGTCTAGGTGACAGCTGGAAATGTGGACCTGAAACTCAGGACCAGAGCAATGATAAGAGCTATACTGACATTCATTTATTCAATAGGTATTTAGCTCTTAATGTATGCCAGGGACTCTGCTAACCCTGTGGGATGCGGCAATATGAGAGAGACAGGATTGCTGCTCTTGTGGGAAACCGAGAGGAAACAGGAGAAACCAAAAATAAACTAATTTCAGATGGAGCAAGAGAGGGTTGACAAAGGGGAGGAGAATCAAGAAATCAGTGTGTCCCAGAAACCAGGCGTGTTAGCACAATTCAATTGGAAAAAGAGTCCCACACACTGTATTTCTCGACTATGAATATTTTATAACACTTTTTTTTAATTTTTAATATTTATTTATTTTTGAGACAGAGAGAGACAGAGCATGAATGGGGGAGGGTCAGAGAGAGGGAGACACAGAACCTGAAGCAGGCTACAGGCTCTGAGCTGTCAGCACAGATCCTGACGCGGGGCTCAAACTCCCGAACTGTGAGACCATGACCTGAGTCAAAGGCAGACGCTTAGCTGACTGAGCCACCCTGAAATTTATTTCTTGATGAAACAGGATTGTTTGTCTTAGACAGATGCTGTGTGGATGTTGCTAATTTCACCACTGTAACGTCCTTTAATATGTCTGTTCCCGGTATTTTCTTTAGACTGGTAGTTGTATCAACAGGTTTGATCTGATTTAGGTTCAATTTATTTGGCGGTGGTGTGTTGGACATTTCTTTTTGCTTTTTTGTGGAAGGGGCAAGACTCATTTTTAAATATTTCTCTAGATGTAAATTACGTGCAATAATGTTCACCTTTTTAATGTGTACAATTCAGTGGTTCTTCGTATATTTGCAAGTTCTGTACCCATCACCCATCCCCACCCTCTAACTTCAGAACATTTTCAACAACCTCCCCCCAAAGCCTTGTACCCATTAGCAGTCATTTTCCATCTTCTCCTGCCACCAGCCCCTGGCAACCCATCTTCTGCTTTCTGGGTCCATAGATGTGTCTATTCTGAACATTTCATATACCAGGTGGCCTTTTGTGCCCGGCTTCTTTCACTCAGCATAATGTTTTTAAGGTTTATCCATGCCGTGGGACCACATAATTCCTTTTCATAGCCTAATAATCTCCCATTGTATGGCCGGGCCACATTCTGTTTATCCATCCATCCACGGGCTTTGGGGATGTTTCTACCTTCCCTGCTGGTTTGCCCGTGTTAAGACAGTAATTTCCTTCTGGAAGCTCAGATCACTTAGTAGAAATGTTTCCTCCTCCCAGAACCCCTTCTTTCTAGGCTCCAGAAGAGGGTGGGAAGGAAAAGGGAAAAGGACTTTATCCAGCCGGAAGCTCACAGCCGTTGGTACTTTCTGAACGGGTGAGGCAAACAACCCCATAAGCCCCAGCCTGCTTTCTGTCCGTGGATTTACTTATTCTGTCCATTTCAGATACGTGCAATTAATATGCTATGTGAAGGAAGAGGAGACAGCCACAGACCATGTGTGTGAGGCCCAGGGGAAGAATGGGCTCTGTTCGTGTGTGAGTCAGCAGACTGACCAGCGGACTTGTTGGGGCAGGTTGGGGAACAGCGTGAAATGAAGTTGAAAAGGGTGGCAGAGATTGACTGCGGGGTCAAGTTCGTATCTGACGTAGTAGGGAGGATGTGATGTGACATCTGGCAAGTCATCGAATCTTTGTTTTACTTTTTTCATCTGTAAAATGGAAGTAATCTCAGCGGAGATTAAACGAGTTAAAATACGTAAAATGTTTAGAACAGAGGGGCGCCTGGGTGGCGCAGTCGGTTAAGCGTCCGACATCAGCCAGGTCACGATCTTGCGGTC